GTACCCCGAGCAGTGATCGTAGGAGAAGGCAGTTGGTGTATCTGCTTCTGTAAAGGGGAAGAGGTGACTGTAGCTTGTCTCTGCGTTATTGGCTGAGCGACTACGATAGTATCACCATCGTATTCCTCTTCAGGGATGTGAGTAGTCTCAATCACGTGAGGCCTTGCAGGTAGAGTTGACGGCTTGTCCTTGTAAAGCTCGTCTATGAAGCGTACGTCGCGTACGCGGATAACGCGATTTGTGGCAGGTAGCCACACCCGATAGATGTTCGAGGCGTCGTATCCAAGGAGAAATCCCTCAAAGGTGCGGTCTTCGAGCTTGTCTCCTCTGGGTAAGTGCTTGTTGAGCACAAATCCACGGCTTCCAATAGCGTGGAGTCGAGAGAGGTCTGGGCGGACGCCAGTGACCATCTCGTGTGGTGTACGCCAGTCGATAGATTTCGTAGGCGTGATGTTGAGTAACCTGGCTGCTGTGCAGACTAGCTCATTAGCTAAGGTCTTAGGCAAGCCAGCATGGATTCGAAGAACCCTAGCAACAGTGACAATACTGGCTCCGGCTCTTTCAGCACCCCCGAGCTGTGCAGGAGTGTCTGGAGATCTCGTCTCAACCTTGATGCCAGCTGTCGTAAGGACTTCCCGAGCAGAAGAGCCTGAGTTGGCTTCAGCCCGTCCATATCCAACGTCTCCATCCATGAAGACAATAGCTACTTGGTAGCCATATACCCGCTCAATCTTGTTAATAAGGCGAGTGATCGCAGGAACAACAGTGGCCTTCTGTCGATCCTTAAGAGTACAGATCTCATGGAGCTTCGTGTACTCACACACGGCATGCAGTGCCCAGACATCTCCGTTGTAGCATGCCTCACCATGCTTCTGGAGTTGGATGATGTCGACAATGATGCGATAAAACGGGCGACACGATTTGTCAGCGCGAGGTCGTCGACTGACGTCTTCCTTCATCTTGCCCTTGATGCATGAGGTACATGCATCCGTCCACTGATCACCTCTACCATTAGTGCCTACTCTAAGGCCTGTAGTAGAGTCTTTGAGATGCTCGATAGCTTGATAGCTTAGGTGTCCAAGCACACGATGTGCTTGCATTGCGGTGACAACTTGAGGTGACTTCGCGTGGGTCGAGTCAGTTGCCATAGCCTGAAAAGGCTGTCCAGCATCTTGAGCGTTTAAGAACCAGTGGCCTCTAACTCGTTCAAGGTCAGAGAAGACCTGAGACTCATCTTCCTTAAAGAGTTTGTTTGTCTTTGAGTTGAAGTGGATCTTCTTGCAACAGCTAAGACTAAAGATATTAGCAATAAATCCTGGGATGTATGCCACTTTCTTAAGCGTGATTGAGGCTGTCTCATTGCCCCTTCTCACGTCAAGTGTTACCTCTCCCCAGGCCTGTACTCGGTGCGAGTTACAGCCTGCTTGCACTTTGTCTTGAGGGGAGGGAAGCTTGGTCTGCTTCCAATTGGCGCCGATCTTGTTGCAGATATGGACATTCGAGCCAGGGTCCATTACCCATCGGTTCTGCAGTGATCGATCGTGCAACGAAGATGCAGCGTTTGACTGCAAGGGTTGCGAGAAATAGGCTGCATTGGACGCGTATCCATCTGAGCTGCAGTCTGAACTAGTTTCGGCTTGATATGCCTGACGTGATGCGGAGTTCTTGCGTTTAGCTAACTCAGCCTTAGCTTTCTCTACATCAAATGTCCATTGAATGCCTGCATCTTTGTAGGCCTTCTTGGCCTTCTTCAAAGTGTCCTTGTTGCGAAAGGCTTTAACAAGCTGAGATAAAGCCTTTGAGTTAGGCTTAAAGTCCTCTCGCCTGCCTTTAGCTTGTTGATTGAGCGTGTAGCAGTCGAGCACTGAGAGATGAAGTCCACAGACACACTGTCTCGGCTCTCCTCTCGGATGTTTTTTCGGCTCTCCTGTCGGCTTCGGCTCGGTGATCGACAGAGATGACGTAAAACTACAGTGTCTTAGTCGTGTTTTGTACCGTGGGTGCCGTTCTCCGATATCGGCCGATGAGGTCTTGGAGGGTAGGCGTTGGCCAAAGGGCATTTGCTTCGCCTTGTTCCATAGCAAGAAACTGCGCTTGCGCCCATGCCTCATCTCCAGAGTCCCGTACAGCATGGATGAATCGCCATTGCGATCGGGTTTCTGTCATCTCTGGCATTTTCTCTTGAGCACATTGAGATGTGACTTGCGAGTATTCGTCTAGCCAGGCTTGAACGCTCTGGTTCTTTGGCTTTTTCTGAATATCGCTGTACCGGGTGGCAAGCTCTAGCCTGCGCTGTTGGTCCGTGACCTTGAAGTGCTTTCGGAGCGTCGTAAGCTGGCTCCGAGGATCGTCATGCTCGGCCCCATTAATGAGGTGGACATGAGTTGTTGCGACGGTGCGTAAGATCTCAAGATTGACCTCACCAATCGCTTTCTGGATAGACTCTTGACGTCTAGACTTAATCTCCCATATTTTCCATTTTTCTGCTGAATCCTCATCCGAGGGCTCTTCAACAGGCGGTGGAGATTCTGCTGTAGAATCGGGATCGCAGTACTGCCATACGCCCTTAATAGTAGCGTACCGTCGTTTTGCGGAAAACCAAGGTGTCCAGTCAGCGGAACCTTGGAGGATTGTAGTAGCACGAGTGACCGAAGAGGTGTTAGTGCTGGTGGTAGCCATAATGGCCAAAGAGCTGCCTTCCTAGGCGGCAGAGAAGATGAGGTAGAACCTCAAGAGAGTGTGAGATGTAATCTCAAAGGGTTGCGTGTAATGCGGCGACAGCAGGTGTGCAGCAACGCAAGGATTGCAGGGACGACGTGTACAACGTGTATGACAATCAACAAAAGAGTGAACAATCTTATTTGAGTATCGCAGCGTAGTGCGGGGATACCGGGCTCATAACTGTCGGATGTAGGACAGGGCAGAAGAGAGGAAGAAGGTTGTTGTATTGAGAGAGCTACATAGAGCGATTATATACACAACCGAGATGAGTAAGCAGGTGACGAAGAGTCACGTGAGATACAGTTCACAGTGTACCAGGTGAACTGAGGTGCCAGGCTGACACCTTACCCTACACAGCTGTTTAGTGACAACAGAAAGCTCGGTAGTACTATGTGAAACAACGTGATCGAGGGTTTTTGTATATAATACGCTAAGGGTAGGTACGTACGTACCATGGTACAGAGGGGGGAGATGGAAGATCTCTACGCGTAAGCCAAAACCTCCATCGTTTGTACCTCCCACATTCCCGCTTATTCAAAAATTTACATCTGGCCTTCAGAGTGGAGTAACCACACGGCAAAGGTCCCCTAGCATACTCTCCTCACCACATCTGCGCATTGAAATGGCGTCGCCGTTACTAATCCTACTCCTTACTCGAAACGCCGTACCCCATGTCCGCCCTGCAAACCCAGCCATGATAGTCGTGGCGGTCATCCGGGAGACCATTGGCCGCTTGTCGAGACTGTTCCGGCAGATGCGCGCTCCATCAAATTGGTCTGCACTCAATCTCCCTTCGGAGATCATCCTAATGATCGCAACACATCTCGACGAATGCGCCGACCTGCCGGAGTCTCTACGGTCTCTTGAAACGGCGCAGTCTGCCTTTGCAATTGGCAGAGAAAGAAAAGTTGTTGTTGTTGCTAGAGAAAGATGTTCCTGTCAAGACGCGGTGAGAGCCTTCACTAGTATTCACGGTGAATCAGGCTTCCCGTGTTCTGATTTGCCAGGCACTGGTTAGTCAGCTGCTCCGTGCGCGCACCATAGATATTCTCCCTTCTCCCGTAGCTCCAATACAACAAGTTCACACACGTTTTCTCCACCTTCATCAGTTCCGTACGTCTATTACTGTCATCACTGTATAAAGCTGCATCGCTGGCATGGACGCTGGAGCAGATCCATCGATCCGATTTACAAAGAACGTCTAGAATGCTAGAAACGCTTAGACGATCATCTCTTCCTCGCAGCTATCTGTCACATCCCTTACCATTATGCGCGCTTCGTCATTAACCGACATCTCTACGGACCCAAACACGGGCCGCCCCTTCATGTACTCAATAAACGAGCCCGACCCGAAGAGCGCTTGGATGGATTCGTAATCTCGGTATCCCAGCATGCAAACATCCCCAATGATCGACTTTTGGTACTGTCAGTCATATCCCTGACGCATCTGCGAGGCGATTTCGTAGTACTCAGAAATCGCATCGACTACGGGGGAAATGATGTCTGTCGACATCTCACTCTTTCACAACTAAATAACTATGATCGTATTCCCGATTGCCCACCCATACAGCTTCCCGAGCTCGCTAAAACGGGAAAAGCATCAAACCAATTTCGGGCCTGTGGTCCTGCGTTCGGATCCTGTACATTTTGTCCGACAGACTACAGTATCACTATACTCTGGCAAGGTGCACGGAAGGGATACAACATCGCAGTGCTTGTCTATCATGATCTGGGTAATTGTCGCACGCCATTTGATTGGCATTGGCGTAGTATTTCAACGTGGTCTATAACGGAAGAACTTAGATCGGCGTATTTTCCAGATCACACACCTGGAAGCATCAGAGACCAATGGAATAAGGCTGCAGGCATTGGATCGTAAGTCCATTCAATGATCTCCGTACTGAACAGCGGGTGTTGTTATATTACGATAAGAGCGTGTTGTTTATGCGCTCAGGACCATGACCGTTTCGGGTCATCGGATGCGACATAACGATGGACTCCGAGATTCTCTACGTGCTCATTGCAACGACCTTATATTCCTAGATGTCTAAGAACCGTCACTGGATCATAATTTCACGTTCCATGATAGTACTCTGCTAGAACCATTATGCGCTCAAATTCAGGCGTATCACATGCCATTTAGATAGATACCAGAAATGGAATTGATAATTAATCTTCCAACAGTTCTTAGACTTCAGCTTATATATCGTTCTACACCGCTGTATAGTAACGACCAGCTACTTATGTCTCTCAACAAGATTATGTTTTCCAGGTTGCATTTATGACCTTTTCTGAAGTTTCTTTAGAATTGCTTTGGTCTCATCGTTCACCTCCTTTTTGCGCTGTCTGAAAAGCTCTTTGGTCACATTGAATATGTCGTAGCGCGACAGGAATATTTCCAGCACCTTTCTGTAAGAAGAACTAGAACTTGCTAGCTCGATTGCGGTTTCGCCACTTTCTGGGCAGGGGATGTTGGCGACGGCTGAGTCGGAGGCTATAACAATTGCTTTGAGAGATTCGTAGGCACGGCCCCGGATGGCTGTGTGGATGGGGTATTTGTTGCAGGATTTGCATGGTTCTTTTAGCAAAGTCACGCCGTGTCTGTCCAATTCCTGTTGTACCTCGGTATCGTCGTCGCTCTTGATCGCTTCACAGAGGTGGGAGTGTTGTGGTGGTCCTTCCAAAATTGATCCATCCAACTGATCCGATGGATTAACAATGTCTTCCCCGTTTGTGGGGGATTTGGTTGCCTCCATTCTGAGCAAGTCGGAAAATTGAACAGGATCAAGTGAATCACAGGGTGATTCCTGGTCGCCGCCACCTTGCGATGCTGGTCTGGGAACGATTTCATCTTCAGGTTTATCGGTAAGCTCGTAATGGTTCAAGTTTTTCTCGAAGAATCTCCATCGTTCCCGAAAATTGGACATTTCCCAGGCTAGCTCGGCCGCCTTGATTCTTTTGGGGCGTTGAATGAGAAGGACGCGACAGAAGATTACTTTAAGTATGTCTCGTACTAGACCCTGCTCTCTACGATGGGCATAGTGATCGTATAGCATGTTTGACCATACAATGACTAGCGGATGAACAGCAGCTTTTAGTGGTGTGTCGGGAATGTTGCCAATATCGGGTCTGAAATCGTGTAGATAGTCGTATCTATGGCCTTCTTCGCCTCCCCACCAGACTTGCTATCAGTCAGGTAACTCAGTTCGAACTGACTGAACTGACTGCCAAGACTCAGTTCAGTCAGTCAGTTCTTGAGGCAGCTGGACGTCAGTCCAGTCAGTTCAGAAGCCTCCAGACTGACTGAACTGACTGACGTTAGACTGACGTTAGCTGTTTTTAAAGCAGTATTTTAGAGTTGTGAAAGCCACATTTAGTGCGGCTTCGAAGCCGCGCTAGTCCTAGATATAAAGACACTAATCCTATATAAGTTAAAGCATCTAGCTTTAAGCTAATTAGAGTTTGCGGAAATGCGCTACCCGGTGCGCACCTAGTAAGCCTTTCGCGTCGCGTCGCGTCGCGTCTGCTATACACACGACGCTAGACTACTGTTGCCATAATACTTCTTGGTGTACTTCATGTCTACTCCCTCTAATTCAGGCCTTCGCCGCCTTGTAGAATGCGACAAGCGCAATTCTCCTCTACCATCGCTATCAAACGCGCCTACTGTTGGCGATACTGCGAGCGAGGCCCAGGCTGATGAGCCCTTGGCAGTACAGGCGGACTTCCCCAACGACGGCGACGACGACGACGACGACGACAATTACGACGGGCTTGATTTTAAGCGTGTGCCGTATCTTGAGCGGCGCCAGGTTGAGCGTAATAGTCGCGGTGGGCCAAAAAGCTGGATCTACCGCCACGGCTGGGCCGTCTGGCACCGCAAGTACAAGAAAAACTACTGGCTTTGCCGGTACTGCCATCAACGACGGAAGCAGGAGGCTTGCTACGAGGCTGACAGCACTACAAACGCCGGCCGACACCTCTCAAGCAACAAGCCTGGACACTCACACGGACCTAACGGACCTGTACCAATTGCTAGCCGGGAGGGCAATATTATGGGCGCGCTCGCAAAGTCCCAAGTATATATTATGAGGTCTAAAGGGATAGAAGTATCGCAAGAGGTAGCAAACGAGATAGCAGCAAGCTTTTCAACCTCTCGATTTCAGGACGCGCTGAAGGACTGGGTAGTCGCGGACAACCAGAGCCTTCGCGTAATAGAAACGCCGCAGTTTCGAGCCATGATTGCGGCCGTGAGCCCGCTAGCCGAAGCTCTCCTTTGGCGTAGCCACTAAACGCTCCACGATCATATTATTACTGAGTACAATACATACATACTAGCTGTTGCCAACTACCTTCGCGAAGCCCGGTCGCTTATACACGTGTCATTCGACAACTGGACTTCAACTGGTGGGCAGTATGCTTTTACTGGCCTCTGCGTACATTACCTTAACAGCGAGGGCAAGCTAGTTGACCACCTGCTTGGGTTGCCTGAGCTACACGGGGCGCACACTGGCAATAATATTGCCGCTGCAGCAACAACAATACTTCGGCTATTTGGCGTTGACAACGCGAGGGTTGGGTACTTTGTGCTTGACAACGCAAGTAACAATGATACTGCAGTTGAGTCCTTAGCAGAGGAGTTTGGCTTTATCGCAAGCGAGCGGCGGCTGCGGTGCTGCTGCCATATACTCAACCTAAGCGCACAATTAGTAATTTGGGGCAAAGACCGTAGCGCGTACGAGAATGAAGCCGCACACCTTGAGGAAGAGGAGAAGTACATGGATGAGTGGCGCAAATACGGTCCTGTTGGCGTCCTCTTTGACGTGATTGCGTCTATCTGTACGCCTCAAACTCGACAACTACTAGAGCGCCTACAGTGCGAGGAGGCAGAGTCTCTAGGTGTTACACCCCACATCCGGCAGCTTGTGAAGCCTGTTAAGACACGCTGGAATAGCTATTTCAACACGTTTGTCCGTGCAGCTGAGCTACACGGCCCTATCGATGGCTATATTGAGTGTAAACTTGAGGAGCATAGTGCTGCAACAGCAACCTCACGACGCCGGAAGAATCGTGAGCAGCTCCCTGCTGCCCAGCCACGGTTATATATACGCGAAGGGGGTCTAAGCGGCAAGGACTAGGCGACAATAACAGAATACATTCGACTCCTTGAGCCATTTGCCGAAGCTACACGGCTACTTAAAGGTCGCGGCCGACACGGCCGACACGGCGCTATATAGGAAGTTCTAGTAACGTTTGAGTAGCTTCTTAACCAGCTTAAGGCTCTCAAAGACCGCCTTAAGGATGTAAATTACGAAGATCTAGATGCGCCTGAAGATCATCTTATTACAAACGTTAACCTTGCACATTGTAAGCTTGCTAAGTACTACGCAAAATTCGATAACGCGCCTGTCTACTACACTGCTACAATACTACACCCGCACTACAAACACCACCTCTCAGCGCTCTGGAAGGTGCCTGACACCCATGTCACTGCCCGTGACGGTGTCCACTATCGCGACGGCTGGCTTGACAATAACCACCGGGCATTCCTGCGTATGTGGCAGGGGCGGAAGGACTCTGCAGCCACTTCAGCTCACACTGTAACGCCGCCGCGTAAGAAGCCCCGGCTAGGGATTTCAACGTCGCGATCAGCTTTTCTACAGTCGTCAATTGAGCAAAGCACACGGCAGTTAGAGGCAAGCCTTGCTGAGGATGAGTATGAGATATGGAAGCGGCAACCAGCGTTAGCTGAGGAGGATTGGCTGTCTCTTAATCCGCTTCTATACTGGGAGTCAGTTGCTGGGCAGTTCCCTATACTCTCAAAGTTCGCTATTGACGTCCTAACAATACCAGCAGCAGCGGCAGACTGTGAGCGGACTTTCAGCGAGCTTGGCGACATGTTAGGCACCCGGAGACTCCATATGAAGCCAGAGCTTATTTCAGCTTTGCAGAGCTTGAAGAGCTGGAAGAGGCTTGGTATACAGCCAACAACTACCTCAGCTTCTGGGCTAGCGCGCACACTATCAGAGGAAGAAATCTCAAAAGTACAGGAGCATTTATCTCAGTTCGACGTCAGGTAACTCAGTTCAGTCAGTCCAGTCAGTCCGCAGGCCGCGGCGACGTCAGTTCAGTCAGTCAGTTTTAGTTTAATTGAAAAGTCTTGGCAGTCAGTCCAGTCCAGTTCAGTGACCTCAGGACGTCAGTTCAGTCAGTCCAGAGAGCTCCGGACTGACTGAACTGACTGATAGCAACTCTGCTCCCCACAAATACGAGTCACTTCTGTGATAGAACAGGCTTTGCGATCCGCCCCAGTGTTTGAACTTGACGAATAGCTGGCTCTCGAGCTCTTTCACTCCAGGGACGCTATAGGTCGCAAAAGCCAACACCATCAACGTGACACATCCCATAGACCAGACATCGCTTCGTTTTCCCACTCCACTAGATCCTGGTTGTTGGACTTCGGGCGCTTGATAGACACCCGCAGGTCTTGTTGCTGAGATGTTTGATGATCGAGACTCTTGATAGCTTGAGTGCCAGTAGTGCCCGCCTAGACCGACCCTTGCCTTGTCACGCTTCTTGCGCGCGAGCCCAAAATCACTGAGTTTCCACAGCAACTTTTCCTCATCTTCTTTCTCGTTGTCCTGATTGCTGGGCTCCCCCTCAAAAACCAAAATATTATCGGGTTTGATGTCGAGATGAAGCAGGTCTAGATCACGGTGCAAATGCTCTAGCGCCTTCACAAGATCGGCCAGCTTGGCGAATAAAACACTGGTTTTTCTACGTTTTTCTGCTTTTTCTGTCTTAAGAAAGTCTCCAAGGCTGAATGTAGCAAGTTCGAATATGATCGAGTGGCTGACCGGTATGCCCTCTCCGTCTCGTATGGTGATGCTTCCCAAATCCAGCATAACCATCTCGTGCTTGATTCTGGATCCATGGATCTCTTTCAGTATCCCAAGCTCATCGTGAAAGTCCTTAGTAGCTTCTTCTATGGTACGCCCATTCGGTACCTTTCTAAACTCTTTGATTGCCATGACCAACGGTCTATCTGGGTTTCCAGGAATGTAATGGCCCCCGCTTTTGATCTCCCAGTGACCCTGTGCTATCTCGACTCTGTATACGGATCCAGACGATCCCTCTTTGATTAGCTCGCATCTACCAATGTAAGGCAATCGGTCCCAGCTTCTGAGTTTATTGTTTTCGTCCTGTCGAAGCAGGACCGGCCTGAATATGTTTTGATAATCGAAAATAGAGCGGTAACAGTCAGAGGGGAATCTGTTTGCTATTAAGGTAGGTTTGTCCAAAGGAATATTCTCATCAGATGGGAAACCTGGCCACGGGTTGATCAACCATTTCGTGAAATGCGATAGTAAAAGTGGGCGTTCTGCATAAAGAAACAACGCAAGCAGGGCTACTCTTGGAGGACATTCGGGATGATTGGGCGTCCCGATCGTCCTGTACACATAATTATCGATAGTAGTATCCTGGTTCGAAGGAGAAACGCTGTCGCCGTCGCCTACTACGGGAGCAAATCCAGAATTTGCCCGTACCAGCTCTGTGATCAATCGTTGAAGAGACAATCCATCCAGTATGTCCTTCAGATCGGTTTTCGGTAGGAAAGGACGTGCTTCCTCGTCTTTGAGCTTCCCCTTGGTGGTATCGACGGCTTGACAGATGCGTATAGTCAGCTCCCGTACGGTGGTTTCGCGCACGGAGGTAGAATTTGTGGCTCGGTGCGCGCTCATTGAATCTAGGCGGCAATCGGGCGCAGTGATCGGAATGGTCTGGTCTGACTTGGTCTTGGTCTGGTCTAGACCGCCAAGACTTGGTCTGGTCTGGCGATTTTTTGAGACCGTGGTCGGACCGGTCTAGATGATCGGACCGGTCCGGCTATAAATAGGTCCACGTGACTAGATCTTAGACTAATCTAGCCAGAAAATTTAGCACAATATGAGTCATTAAGATCAAGGTAAGTCTTCTACTTACATAGAACAATCAAGTCCTTAACAACCTACTTATATACTATTGTTATGGAGCCTTCAACACCAACCTCACCGTCCCCATCGAATATTATAAGACTAGATTTAACGTCTCTTACTCCATCTCCTATCCCCACGTCATCACCCACCCCTATACTATCACCCACTCCTATTCAATATCACGAATCTCCAGATGAGTTCGTGCAGGGCGGTATCACGTACGTGAAACGTGCAATAATTGCAAGGAAGGATTTCCGTCAAGGTACATCACACATCTGGAAGTACGGACTCCAATACATTCGAGATAGCGATAAGAAAGAGGTGTATTACTGCCATGAGTGCAGGGTTGGGAAGAGCAAGCAAGAGTTGTTTGTCATCAATGGCACTTCTAGGATCCGGAATCACCTGGAACAGAAGCACCAGATTGATCCCCAGAGTGGCATCAAGCGAAAGGGTTCTGTACGGAAGTCTATAATCGACCAGCAAAAGGATGGGGCTGCTTCCAGCATCTTTTTCTGGAAGGAGTCAGTAGAGAAGTTTA